CCCCAAAACCCCAAAACCCCAAAACCCCAAAACCCCTACAAAGGATATTTAACTTGAGGAATTTAATAAACTATCATTTGGTGTTTCCAGCTTTGAGGTAATCTTTTCAGAGAGTTTTTCCATATCTGTAAGGCATATCATGGTGACAAAGAGGGTTCCAACAATAAACAGACCAATTGGAAGTCCTCCCCAGACACCTCTGATGCCTAGATCAAGACTGAAAGTCATGTAATATGTAAGTGGAATACATACAATCCAATATCCAACTAAGCAGATCACTGAAGCGAAATTTTGCTTTCCCATTGCTTTGATTCATCCTTGACAAATACCTTGTAGGTAGTCACCAAACGTCATTGCAAAGACTAATGGAAGTGCCATTACTATTGTGTTACCAAGCTCTTCATCACTAGTGAAGATCCCAGCCAGGGTATGCCTAAACAGGAACATACCTCCACCCAAGATAAAGCTTCAAGTGAGTGAAATTCACACTGACAGATTGACATAAATTCTTGCATTCTTTGGATTTGAGTCTCCAAGGTTGTTTCCGACCAAAGTGCTTGCTGCAAATCCAAAACCGGCAGGAATCATGTATACGAATTCTAGAATATTGAAAATAATGACTGAAGCTGCGAGCTCGAGCTCTCCCACCATTCCTCCTATGAGGTTGACTACTCCGAAAGCCCAGAATTCTAGGGCGACCATCATCATGGCTGGAAGGCCATATTGTAGGTACTCAAAGAGTCCTACAAAGGAGTCTTTGTTGATCCAGTTCCAGCATCCCTCTTTCACTGCCTTTCTGTTGAAAGTGATGTACATCACAGGTACAAAGAAATTCAAGAAGTAAGTAATGCAAGTGGCCCATGCCACTCCTCTTACCGAAAAGTCGAAGAAAAACACCAGCAAGTATAACCAGAGGGGATGCAACATTCAGTTGAAGATCTGAGAATTCGTCACTATGTAGAAAGCTCCTTGAGCTCCAAGGAACCTTCTCAACAGCTCTGTTTGACAGAAGAACCAGATCCCAGGAATCAAAATTTTGATATATAGCCCTGCATACTCTGCTGATGCTGGGGGCTGCCCCAGCATCACGAGAAGAGGAGTAGAGAACAATAGAAATACTGCCTGGAATAAAAATACAAGAGTTAGTACTATCTGGGCTCTTGTATAGTATCAACCTGCTAGGTAATTCTTTTTATTGCCAAAAGCTTGTGAGCATAGTGTCTCAACTCCTCCAGCGAGTCCAACTCCTAGTGAGAAGGCTATTATCCCTATGGTAGTGATGCCAAGGCCTGCTCCTGAGATAAGAGTTGAGTCTCCTATTCTGCCGACCACAACAAGGTTGGTAAACTCGACTACTCTGTTCAGTAGGAGACCTCCAGTGGAAGGAATGGCGTACTTGATCATATTCCATAGGCCTTGACGATAGGTCACAACTTGTTTCTGCTGTACTACTGATTGAATGTAGCTATTTAAATCACTGGAGCTATTTTTGGATTCTCCTATGTTAAATTATTGGTTGAAGCCCTTGTTGGCTCCTCTCAGATGGCACAAAATTTCACTTCAAGAGTCGATAAATAGAGCATGAAGGAACTAAGTTGTGAAAATTATAGGATGTCCAAGACTAAATTTGAATTTTTTTAGAATCTTTCTAAGCAAAAATTTGCCACTACTTCAGAGCTAATGAATAACAACAGTCTCAGGATGGATTCCTCATGTCCTTCTGATGAGCTAGGACAAAAGTCTAAGAAGCCATTTCATTTTGAGATCCTTTATAGTTGCTTACCTGAGAAAAGATCGTCTTTGGATTTACTTTGAAGCTCAATTTCGGAATCTGACATTGTCCGGTTTTTATTCAATTATCAATAAAAATCTCGGGGTTTTGGGGTTTTGGGGTTTTGGGGTTTTGGGG